CGCATGGTGACTGCTCACTGCCAACTCTGGTGATCACTTCCTCTGAGCTGCTCTTCTCTGGTGCTGCTGGTGATGATGGTCTGGCCGCCTTTGCTGCCGCCGTCTCTTCTGGAGCGGTCGACCCCAGCGATGGCTGTCCCTCTACCGACGACGACGGACTGGTGTGATGATGCTGTTTGCCGCCGTCGAAAGAAGAAGTGGAGAGCAGAGCTGCAGTGCTCACACTGTGCTCCACCATGACCGCCGACATGTGTGCTCGGCGTGTGACGGAAGGCAATGGAAGAGATAAGCAACAGACAAACTGGGGCTGTAGTGGCGAAGAGCAGTGGAGACAGTGTCAGTCGGCAAATGAATAGCCGCAATATTAGAGCAGTTATACTCGGCGTGAGTGAGTGAGTGAGTGTACTATGACAAGGCCAGTCACTAATTAAAGGACAACTGCCAGACACCGGCAGTGCCCTCACGAGGGTACTGGTGAGCTTTGATGGCTGCTGCCAGCGACCGAATGACACCGGTCGACGAAGACGACGAGTTGGGTGGCAGTGAAGAGGCAGACAAAGTGCTGATGGCCCACAGACACCACTGCCTGTTCATGTTTGGGCGCAAAAAGGACTCAAACACGAAAAGTACGAGTAGTAGTACAAATTTGCATTACATCAAATTTGAGGGCAAGTGATCGGGCGATGCGTGCTGCCGGTGGCACTGTACGGTGGAAGAACTGATGGCGTAAGTAGAGCACAGCAGTGTGCTAATGGCTCCCGCAGAAGAGTACACCAAGTCAGACAGAGTGTGCTGTACACAGTGAATGAACACACAGAGTTGAGCACATAAATTGACGCCCCAGCGTCTCTTTAGAGCGACAACGAGGGAAGGCAAATCAAATGCAAACAGACAAATGAAGCAGAGACAAATGAAAGCGGCCGGTGCTGATGCTGAAGCAGTTTGGTGGTGGCGAATTGGCGAGAAACGGACGCATATTTTAAGTGCTCGCACGGCTGTCGCTTTGGCGAGTCTAATTCGATTGAGCGGCGCTGTTGTGTTCAGCAATCTGGCTGACAACGGGAGCTGAATGGCGCCCAGTGACACCAGACGAGGATGGATGAGACACACTATAGCCGAGTTGTGTGTCAGCACTGGTAGCCTCTGGTGCTTCTGCTTCTGGACTGCTGTCACCGGCAAGTGACAATTTCAACACTCAATGCGTGACAATTGACCAATTGACTTGGGCAGAGTTGCTCACAGTGCGATGACTGCTTTGAATGAGTGCAGTACAGTAGCAGCAACACTGACTATGCACTGTTCAGCCTTATTCAAAGTGGTGCAATTTAACTGATATCCCGGTAGGAAGTTTTCTTTTTTAATCAGGGCAAACGTGTAAATAAAACTGCACACAGTATGCGATAACACGTGGAATTAATTAGCAAATTGAAGGAGCCAGCAGTGAAGAGGGGGCAAATTAATCAAAACGCAAGCAGGCGGCAAACGTTTGACAAATGTTACTTGGAAGTGGCAACTTTAATTTAGCTTAATTTTCAAATTAGCTGGTCACTAGCCGTGCGACTGCTGCTACTTGAAGATGGAGCATAACAGTAATTGACGCCAGGACTAAAAATAAGGACACACAGAGACACTGGCGAAGAATAGATGGAAAGGAGAAGATGAATCACATGAATGGATGAACGGACAGATAGGGACAATCAATAAGAGAGAAGAAAAACAATAACCAGACAAAGAATGGGCACGATGGACACGATGATCAATAAGAAAGGGGGACAAGACTAACGGGGGCAGAGGGGCGCAGAAGAGCAGAGGAATAAAACACGACAGCAGAATGGTAATCGAGTCGAGAAAAGTTAGAGCGAATGGCAAAGAACGAAGAATGAAAGGAGCAATGACAGCTAGTGAAGTAACGTAAAAGACAAACACAAACAGACGATGGCGGTACACGAGGCAGAGGGAGAAAATGAGAGAGAGAGAGTGAGAGCAAAGCTGGCGAACGCGCGAGCAAATCACTCAGCTGGCGCTACAGCACTGTGAGATAAGATGTGGAGAGACACTTGACTGCACCAGAGGCTGTACAAAGAGACAGAGGAAGACTGAAAGAAAAACACACGGCGGAAGGAGAAAGAACAGAAGCAGCAGATGACAAGGTTGTGGAGGTAAACTATCCAAATCAACACTCAGGCAAGGGCCTCGATTGCAGCGCGCGGGCGATTAGATTTGAAAATGAACAGTCTGCAACATAGCCGCCATTCAATTCAATTCACCGACATCGACAACAGCAGCGACAGCAAAGTCACCGAGCAGAGAAAAAGACTGTGCACTGTGCAGACTTCAAATATACTTCGAAATGCGAAGTAGGCACGAACACGGAAAGGTGAACATTAGGGGAAACGATGTGAACAGACCGAGAGCAGACGGCCAACTGACTGGCGCGCGGTGAAGATCGAGTCCAACCGGACTGCATCTGCCTGCTCCACCACGGACGTGACGTGACGGAGACTGTGGTCGTGGTGGTGGCTCAGGAGGCAGTGGCACTCACCGCCAATGGTACCGTGCCAGGAGCAAAGGGAGAGGCACAGGGAACTGGAGGACAGCTCAAACCACCGCATCCGAAGTCTCGCTTCGGCCGCGGAGTTTGCAGTGCAGTGGTTGGCGCCAAGAGGTGCCTGGGAGCGAGTAGTACACAGGCAAGGAAGGCGAGGAGGAATGAGAAGACGACAACAACGGCGACGACGACGACGGCGAAGACTACGGCAATGGCGTTTAGCTGCAACGACTCTCGGCCTGGCTGCTGTCGCTTGTGCTGGTGGACTGATGGCAGCAGCGGCAGCTTTCGCTGCTCACGAGCTTGCAATTGCAATCGTCGATGGCTCACGTTCATCGTCCAACCATACGGACATACTATGGCGACCGAAGAGGAGACTGCACCAGTGGTTGCGCCAAGAAAGCGACTAACTGACTGACTGGCTGGCGGATGGCTGCCTGTCTGCCTGCTTGAATGTAGGTAGCAGCGAGGGCTCCGTAAAATGTCTTTCTGGGAAAATAAATTACTGCAATGGCACTGGCGCTGCTGCTGCTGCTTGGGACAGAGAACACTTGGATGACTGCTGGCAATGAATGCTGCTGCAACAGCACTTGCATGTCTGTTTTCAGACACTCACTTGGACCAAAACTTTGTTTGGCAGGATCGATACTGCGGACTGAAAGACAAACTGAAAGGCCGACAGGAGACAGAAAAAGGGAACCGAAGAGAAACGACAAATAAGTACGAGGACGAAGTGGGCAACCGTGATTGCAATTATTAGTGGCATTAGCTCAACCATTTGACAATCGGGCAACAAAAAGGGGAGACACTTTGGGCGAGCATACACACAAAGTAGCAAAACACTGTGCAACACAGTGGGCACAATACGCACAAATGGCGTTCTGATTTAAGGTGTGCAAAGTGTTTGGTGAAGAGGAACTTAAGGCACTTGTCACCGGGAGCCGTGATAGGCGCCAGTCAATTAAAGAAATGTGAAAATAAAGTAAAAAGAAATTTAGTAAAGTACTGCTAATTAAATGCAGTTGCACTTAGTAGTTGGCAATTGAAGTATTAAGAACTGGGAGGCAAGGTTATTCGCTAAAGTGATTCCCTAGATATGCTACAAAAATCAAGTGAAAGGAAACAAAGGAGGAGATGCTCTCATCTACAAAGTGAGGCGGTGTTTTTAGAAAAAGGAGATTACTGAAACCTATGCAGTGTCTGCTTGAAAAGAAAGAAAATGCGATCAGCACGTGCCCAGTGATCGTGACACGGGCAAATGACTGCTGGCCACCGGCTACCGACCATCAGCGGTTCAGTGGAGGAGACCAGAGGCCAACGAATATACTTGCGGCAAAGAGTGGCCGTGGTGGTGGTAGTGAACACCACCAGTATTGAAAGGAAAAAAGAGAGAAAGGGAGCAGAGCCGTCCCGAGACGACCATTTGTACTGGTGCCAGGCAGCAGAAGGCAATGAGGAAAGAGTGCAGCTCAGGGTACAGAGAGTGACTGTCTGTGTAGGTCTGTCTGGCTGGCTGTGTGTGTGTGTGTTTGTGATCGGTGTGAGGGCGAGAGAGAAAGACAAGAGAACGTTGCTGTTTAGATGTGTCGGAAAGCATCCGCCTGGGAATGCAAAAGAAAACATCGCCGCGAGCTTATAAATATTGAGCAGGCCAGCAGATGAGTGGTGCGAGATGCGGCGCACCGATCTCCATTGGCTTGATGCATCTTAAGCAGATTAATCACATCAGTGCTGAGAAAGCAATCGGCGGGCAGGTAGCCCCGCAAACAAACGGACACATAACTCAACACACACAGACACAGATTCTGGCAGACAAATGGCGGCCTGCTCTGTTCTTGCCGCTCACACAGTTAGGGCCCAGTGCAGAGCTCTGCTCTACTCTTGCGGAAACATAGTGACCAGTTTGATTTAGAGCATCCGCTCGCAGGGAGAAGACTCACTCTCCGCTGGCATCGACACAAAGTCAATAGAGTGGGAAAAGAAAGAAAGAAAGGTGTTTGCACACACTGATTGCACCTACCTTGGAGCGGGCGTTGACCGACTGGAGAGCGGCGCGTTCTGCAGCCTTGCGGACTGCCTCACGACGGTTGCAGCACTTGATGAGATCAGCAATGGTTCGCTTGGAGCCCTCACACCCTGACTGGTCGTCAGAGTTGTCCTCACTGTCGTCACTGTCCTCTTCATCCTCCTGGGTAGCATCACTCTCTTCATCACTGGCAGAATCACTATTGTCATCATCATCATCCTCTTCTTCTTCCTCCTCCTCCTCCTCGTCCTCATCAGCCTCATCGTCATCGTCATCTTCAGACAAATCCTCTTCGGAGCTGTCCTCATCACTAAAAATGACCTTTTTTGACTTGGGCCCTTTTGCACTTTTGCCAGACACTGAAGCAGCTTTTTTCGTTGGGGCCTTTGGCGTTTTCTTTCCTTTTGTAACTTTGTTATGACTAACCCGAGAGGCCTTCACTTTTTTGTTAGTCATTTTGATTGTCGTCTGCTTCTTTTTTCCCACTGCATTCTTCGGTTTCTTTTGCGTTTGCTGCAAAAGACAACGATTGCACGCTACCTGAGTTCGGGGATGCTTGTGAGTGCACTTTGTAGCTTTCACTTTCAATTTTGATTTGTGACTAGCCTTCACTGTGCTGATCTCATCTCCATCTTTTTCCTCATCTTCCACTTCTTCATCGACATTTTCATCAAGCTCCTCGTCATCAGAATCGTCAGAGTCACTAGCAGCCTCCTTCTTTGCTTTTCCAGTTGGTTTAGCCTTTTTAGATTTCGAATCTTTTGCCATTGGTTTTTTTGAAGTTTTACTGTTAGTTGCAGTTGTCTTTTTACCCTTTGAGGTTTTGCTATTTTTACTCTGTGATTGTTTACGTGGTCGTCGAGTCGGTGAGACGAGAGACGGGCGACGTTTATTAGGAGTTTTGCCTTTTGAATAGGTTGATAAGGGAAGGGGCAGTGCCTCTCGCTGTTCAAAGGTTATTCGCACTGAAGGCGCAGAAACGAGTGGCTGTGGTTGGTGGAACGATTGAAGTGCAGTTGAAGTGGGAGAAGACGACGGCGCGGAAGTAGAATGATTTTTGGGCCCTTCAGCACTTGGACGAGCCTCTCCTACCAGTGCGCACTGTTGGTCGCCAACATCTTCCTTCCCAGTAACTGTCGGTCGCACAGAAGATGCTGTTGGCGTGGGATGAAGATGAAGCTGCGATGAGTTACCGGTCGAGGGAGAAGTGGTCGCAGTGGTAGTGGTGGAGGTGGCTGTTGTGCTGCTGCTGTTGATGGCAAAGTTGTGTAGCACGGTCAGGTCATGTTTCACTGCGTCTTGTAACGATAACTGCAGGAGAAAGAAAAGAAAGAAAAAATCAGATGGAAAGTCTCGGAAGGTGAAAACGGAAAATGGGGACAATCTTATTTGCTTGAATATGTCAACTTTTGATTTTTTGGGTCTATGCAATGCAGGAAATAGATGGAACTGTCAAGAGAACAGCAGCGAAAAATGAAAAAAATGATCACCAAGTTTTCACGCATTTAGTTAAATTGCTGAAAAAATATTATTGAAAATTCACAGTTCAAATAAGTTAGAATGTGCGCGTATGAAAAGGCTGTGGATTGCGGAAAAGAGTTTCAGCCTCTTTCGTCTGTGTGCTGGATCGACGTCAGTAGCCATAAACATCAGCCAGGCAGTCAGTTAGTCTTGGAGACAATGGGCGCTGTGTTAGTGCTGCGGCTGCTGCTACTGACAGCGTATGGCAAACTCGAGTACGGCAGCCTCACTCAGCTTTCAGTCGATACGATATTTTCGGTCAGAGTCGAGTTCAGAGTGCTCGACCGAGTGAAAAGAGCGAAACGAAAGAGCACGCCGATAGACGACAACAACACCGAAGAGAGCATGAGAGTGCGAGAGAGAGAGAGAGGCCACAGGTAAAACATGTTTGGCCAAGTTTGCCGTTTAGAGACTGCAGAGTGAATACATGAAGAAAGAGAAATAAAGAAAGAGAGAGAGACACAAGAAATAAAGACTCGCTTCAAGAGGTCGTGTGTTGTTTTAACTTTATATATTTTAGTCTAGTTTCGGATGGCTATTTTAAGAGTTGAGCAATGGAAAGAGCAGAAACAGAACGCCTAAAGAGTAGTAATGTGTGTGTGGCGCCAAAAGAGCGAACAGTGAAACGACTGGGCGAGTGAAGTGAGATCAAACACGAGCACAGGGGGAGATTTTAGTCAGTTAGTCAGTCAGTCACCAGTGTCAGGAAAGAAGAGACACACTGCCAGTGACGACAGATGAACCGTTTATGTTTGCTCTGTCAAAATGTTGACCAGAACTGTCAGAAATAGTCTGCTTACTTTGGCACTGTCACCCATGGAGTGTCATTCTTTCAGCTTTCAGAACAGAACGTGGGTCAACAAAAAGAGCCTGGGCCCAAGGTGAGTCGGCCAGGAAAAGAGTGCAACTCTGAGCTAGTTGAGCTGAGCTGGCGGAAGAAACGATGAGCATCACCCAAATATTGCCAAAGGAGCGCAATAATGGGGCAGCAATTAAGAGTTGCAACGAGCGGTCATTAGCGCCGAGCTGGAACAGTGCCTGCACTGGCGGCACTGGCACCGTTGCTGTTGCTGCTGTTGCCACTGTAACATAATCAAATTCTTCATTATCTTTTGTCGACGGGCGCGCGCCGCAATAATAAAGTGGAGCAACAGCAACAGCAGCTTTGGATGAAGTTCCATTTGGTCACAGGATTCGGTTACAAGAGTTGGTTAACTTAATTATTGCATTAAATACGAGTTGGTTACATTAGTCATTTGTAAGGAAGTCTGCCGTGCAGCGAACACCATTCTTGTGCATAGTACCATACACCGTGCGGTAGTTCTCATGCTTCATGTGGGGCTATATTGGCTAGCTTAACTGTCACCTAAATGTTCCAATTTGCGATTCAATTGCCTCGATACACACACACACACACACACACACACACACACACACACACACACACACACACTGGCTAGAAACAAGTTGAGAAGCGTCGCTCAAAAGAGTGTAGCACAAAAACACTGCTCTACCGGGTACTCGCGCCTGGCCAGGGCGTCCGGAGAAGGTCGCCAAAAATGGCAGCAAAAAAGTCAGCCAACAAACAGAAAAGAGGTTACTATGAGTTGCATAGTGCACAAGCGGCATACAGCACAAAACAATGATTGCTGACTAGTGGCTTACCTCGAGAGATTCCTGGTCGGTGAAACACTGAATGGCGAATCCATCGATGATGCTTTCGCTGAAAAAGACGATTCGTTCGGAAACAGGCGTATCTAGGTGCGGTTGCTCGCCGATCACCATTTGAGCGCCATCATTTGGAAACAATGTGGCTCTATTCTCACTTAAGTTTGAGACCGTTGACAGAGTGGAGACTGACTGCTTTCTGCTTTTTGTCACCTCTGAACTGGGGCTCGAGTTGTTGTTTTTTGTCTTGTTCAGGAGACCACTAGACTTGTCTGCTTTTGTGGCGCTGCCTTTGTTGACCTTTTTTGACGCACCGCTACTTGAAGAAGTGGTCGCAGATTTAGCTTTAGATGTTGATTTAGATGTTGATTTTGCCGAAGACTGTTGTGCATCTTTACATCCGTTATTTGTACCGCCAGCAGCAGTAGAGCTTTTTTGTTGCTGTTTGTCTTTGGCCTTTTCTTTGAAAAACTTAAACTCTTTTGGTTTTTGTTTTGAAGTGAAAGACGACGGTGACAAGACGACATTGTGATTAGACGCAACAAAGTTGATAGTCTCCAAAGAAAGATCAAGTGCAGGCAACTGTGGACTAGCTGTGCCATTGACCAAAACATGATTGTGCAAGTTGTGGATGTGTTGGTTGGCATTGCTGTTGCTGCTGCCGCCGTTATTGCTGGTGATATTACTATCGTTATTCACAGTGCTCTTCGGACCTGGAGCCCGAGTGGGAGAGCGGTTTGAAGATGCTTTTCGAGCAGGTGTGCTCACTGCTGCGGCGCCAGTAGTGGGTGCTAGGGCTATTGCTGCCACTGGTGCTGACAGTGCTGCTGACAGTGCTGTTGCTGTGAATGGAAGGATCGGCGGCTGTGCACTACTCGACAGTGTGCTGCCTTTGTTGTTCTCTTTATTTGGCGACGCTTTGCTTCTACTAGAAGAAGTGCCATTGTTGTTAAGAGAAGTCTCACGTGCGAGGAGATTCTTCTTAAAAGGCAACGCCGACGTGGCGCCAACCGTTGCTCCTCCATCGGTCAAATACTGCTGTCCGGGGGTTGACTTGGCTCCATGCAAGTGCAGTTGCTGATGCAGGTGCCCGCGACCATTTGGGGTAGCAGGTCCAAAGGTGGCTAATTGATTAGGCGGTGCTGAGGCCTTAGGCCTCGGCGTTCCCTTTGCGATGCCGTTAGTCAGCGGATGACTACTGATATTGCTATTGCTACTGAGGGCAAATTGCTGGTGGTCGACTGGTGGTCCAGCTGTGGCTGTGGAGGCATGTTTGTGCTTGCCAGCACCGAGCTGAGCACTGGTGAATTGTTGTGCCAACGACAACTGACTGCTTGCACTGTGATTGCTCAAGTTTCCGGCAGTTGCGGCATTGTGCAGGCCAGTGCTCAGACTGCCAAAAGTGCTGCTACCCTTGCTGGTGCTGCCTCGCGAAAAGGAGACGCCAGCTTTGGGAGTGGAGAAGGCGTTTGACCTACCAGCCCCACCGACACTACTGCCGACACCACCGACGCCGGAGAGGCCAGACTCGCTGCTGATGCTGGAGAGCAGCAGTGGAAAGGCAGTGGAGCTCTCAAAGTTGAGCTTGCTGGCCGAACTGCCCTGCTGGCTGCTCCCCTGGCTCTGGCTGGAGCCAAAGGCGAACGGTTGCGAGGTGCTGCTGGTGTTGATGCTGGCAGACAGCGAATTGTGACTGAGGTGATTCGCAAGGTGGTTCGTCGGTGGATTTGCCTGGTGGAGGTGGTGGAACGCCGGGTGCTTCACAGTGTGGGCCTCCATTCAGACCATTTCCGAAGGGGTTCGCACTGGCTCGAGCAAATCATATCACAGGACACTCGGTTCCAGCAAAACCACTTTCTCAGGTTTGCCTGCTCTCACTTCTTCAATGAGCGGCTGCTTCAATTGTATCTCGTTACTGACGAGATAGGCAAGCTATTTTTGCATTTCTGAAGCAAATAAACAAGAACAACAATGAGAGAGAGGTTGCGTCAATAAATAGTTGATTTTTCTTCCGCAACAATGAAATAAGATCACATATGAATCGGAAGTACTTGAGAATCTGATCAAACAAATTTTTGGTGGAACCAAAGTTGATACTGTGTTTAGCTTTAGGTAAAACTAGGAAGAAGCACAAACGAGATTGAGTGAATGGTGTTTTGAATAAAATGGCAATCGAAAAGTAGTGAAGAGAGCATTTGCTGTGAACACGTCGGGTGTTTTGGTGCCTGGTGATTGGCGTTGGTGAACGTTGAAATGGCTCTAGCTATAAATAGCAATCAATTTTCATATTGTTAGATGGCAATTCAATGATAATTTGAGACTACCAGCAGCTGAACGGTGTTGACTTAAATGGTGCAAAAAGCCGTACATATGCTGAGCAGCAGCGCTGGTTGAACAGGTAGAGTGCCTTCAGTTGATTAATTCATTCACACGGCACTGCGTCGAGCAGTAAATTAATTAGCCAACACAAAACGCAAATGGGCGCGAGTTGGCAGACGAGCCGTGCAGAAGTGTAAGAAGCAGGATTGTCGTCCTTTTTGTTTTGATTGACTTTTGATGCGGTGAGCACTACTGCTCACAGGTCACACAGTACACGATGGAGAGCAAGTGGCAAGCGACACTGTTGAGATGATTGCAGCAATATGAATTGCTACTTTGACGACAGCAATGAAAGCACAATGGACAAGTTGAATAAGTGCTGAACACTGAAGTGCTGTGCACTGATGCTGCTGGTGCTGGTGGTGATGAACTGCTGTGGCCGCAATGCTGATTTTATTTGTGTAGACAAAGGCAAAGTGCCCAGTGCAGCAAATGAACTCACTTGACTGATTTTTCAGAGTAAAATCAAAACAGTGTTGATCTACTGGTGAGTAAGCTCGCATTTGACAAACAAATCAATTATTTGAACAAAAAGTTATTTTATTATTAACACGAAACTTAAACGGAAACACGAACTTTTGATGAAAGGGGTGGTAATTATATAGATAGTGGTCAAATTAAAAAGGAAGTCATCAGACACACCAGAAAGAGTTTAGCAAAACAGCGGTGTCTTTGATGGGACGAACGGTTGATTGAGTTGATTGAAAGGGATGAACACTTGGTGTTGTAAGTAGGTAGCAGCTCGTTTGTGCAAATGTTGTTTGGTGCACTGGACTGTCGTGAAGGTGAGGTGGCCAGGTGACTGAGATTGGTCGTGGAAGTGCTCACCAGGAGGTGCCCAGATGGATGGAGAGAAGTACTGGTGGACAGAGTACTGTGTACTGTAGCACTGATGGGAATCACTCGGTGATCTAGCCGTGTTGATGAGAAGACCAGATCACCAGAAGACGACAACACACGAGTTGAGAATGGGCAGAGCACACAGCACTGTGAGCAGAAAATCGACGGCAAGCGAGAAGGAGAGAGAGAGAGAGACGGTGCATCCAGTGCAGAGAGAGCACAACGAGCGACTGATCATCGACAAAGCGACCACGGCGGTGACAAGACAGAGAGGAATCGCGCGGGCAGAGGCAGGCGAGACTGGCCTATGATGCTAGCAGGCTGCAGCACACTGTCTCTCCACTTTGCCGCTACTTCCAGTCCCACCACGGTGATCGTCGACGACGGCGAGCCGATTTCGAAGTTCACTCGACTTGGCAGCAGCCAACAACAAGAATTCGGCAGCAAGTCCACTGCTCTTGCTGTCGCTGCCATTGCTGCAGCATACATGTATCGAAGCAGCGGCCCGGCCCGGCTGAAGCTCCCTTTTCTCTCTCTCCTTCCTTCGCTCCTTCCTTCTCTCTTCCTCTGCCTTTCCTCTATTCATTCATTGGCGGCCTCTGTCTGGCCACGATGGGAGCATGCTCCAGCGACCCGGGGTCGACAGCTGCCAGCGAGAAAAAGAGAGAGAGAGAAAAGTACTACTCGCTTGAACCACTGCTTGTTGCACGGACAATGCCACCAACATTGCCCACTACCATCAAAGCCGTGAGGGAGGGAAGTTGAGGTAGGGAAAAGAACGAGCAATGGGGAGAAGAGAAAGAGAGAGAGAGAGAGAGAGATAGAGAGGGCTGCAATAGACGGAGCAGCAGGAGTAGAGTATCCTTATCCAACAGAGGTCGCACTGACGGTGCACTGGCCAAACAGCACAAGAGGCACTACCATTGGGTTTGTGCGGCTTCAACACTCGCATATACACACACACACACTCAGACCGACACACAGGCACACAGAGGCACTCTTACTGGAGGACCAGTCAGTCTGTGCAGGCGAGCAGCAGACAGGCACTTTCGGCTGTCACGGCAGTCTGCAACGAGACCTTCCATACAGCGGCACTCACATGGCGGTAATTTACTCAACCCAGTAGAGTGCACTTTGTGCCTTGAGACGCCCAGGGAAAAGGGTCCACAGAGAAGGGGTCAACTGGCAGCTGGGGCGAAGGAGGTGAGCAGGACAGTAAGACAAATTGCATCAAAATCAGTAGCTCACACAAAAGGCAGCCAATTATGTAGTTGATTTTAATAAAGAAGAGACCTTTCTGGATGATTGCCTTCTCACAATGAAACACTAACATTGAAAAGCGTTTGTACAATTGGATATGAAACAAAAACCAGCAGTTTTTTAAAACGGCAATGTTCATTTTCCGTTAAAAAAAGACCTGTTGGAGCGGGAAAAATGTGCAATAAAAACACTGAATTTAGCATAAAAGAATCTTTTTATGAGATAAATGTCGTTTTTACTTATTGAGAATTAGCAGCGATAATCTGGCATACTCAGAGGTGTTCAGCGTTTTTGGCAAATCACCTATAAAAAATGCTTTTAAAAAATTCATGTAACTTTATACATGAAGAAAGAACACTTTGTGCAAAACAAATTCAAGATGAAAATAGTGGTAATTTCTTAAAATTTTCACAACTTTTACTTTACAAAGTTTACACATACATACACACCGTACCACACAGATAAGGGCACTGTTTCCGTTAGCTCAGACAGACCGCTTGCTCGAGTGACAATCGATTGGTGTCTGCGCACAAACCGTCTCAGTCTCTTTCTCTAGCTCTGGTCACCGTTGCGTAATGCATCTCACGCTAGTGAGGCACTGCTGACGAACAACTGAGGCAGAGTGGCAGAACTGGATTTGGGAAAGACACACAGCGCGCAGAGACAAAGACAGACATTGGGTCAAAGGGTATTGAACTGACAGACACAGGAGAGCTGTGCTCATGTAACACATGCTAAGACACTTCCACTAAAGAGGTTTGGTGCACGCTCATTCTGTAGAAGGAGAGATGTTGCAAGTTCTGTTCTTTATGATAATACATTGTGAAAAACATTTAATACCTTCAAAGACAAAACAAATATTGTAACTGTAAAAATGTTCAATTCCACCAATGTGGCAAAAAAAGTTTATTGATAAATTCAACCATCCAAAACAATGTGTGCTGAGTGTGCGGTATTTTCCTGGGGTACAAATGCTTGCAAAAAGGGTGTAAGAAAAAAAGGAAGAAGACAGAATATCACTAGGTTTATGCAAGCAAGTAGCAGTAATGCCTGCATACATTTCAGAAAGCAGAGTTGTGTGCAAGTGTGTAATGAACAGGTGGGAGTGGTAATAAATAGTAAACAGTGGAGACTGAGTGTGTTAATATTAAATACCTGTGCATCAAACGGGTACTGGGGAGAAGGGTTAACAGTGAGGAAAGCTGAGCAAAGCTGTCGTAATGTGAGTCTCCTAAAGGTGCTACCCTAACGAGTGCATTGAAGAGAGCAAAGTGAATTAGTGTGAAGGGAAGCTTAGCTGGAGGCCAGGTGGTTTCGCTCCAACCAGGAGCACACTTCAACCAGGGTAGACGGCGTCGTGTCAGTGCTCATGAAAGGCTTCTTTGGCTCGAGAAAAGAACTGCCACCCACCGCACCAGCAATGGCACTGGTCACTTTAGGCAAAGTCTGCTGCTGCTGCTGCTGCAAATCCGTGCTAGTCTCTGCAGAAGGCACACTGGTGTGCAGACTGCTGCTGCTGCTGTTCGTGCTACCTGAGGCTGTTGACGCAGTTGAGTTGAGACTAGTGGCACTCCCTTGAAATCTCTTTGCAGAGTCCAGCTTGGAAAGGGGTGCAATCTTGCTAACAGCCGAACCAGCACCGGCACTACATCCGCTGCTTGGCTTTCCCATTACCCCATTAGAAGTGGTAGGACTAATGGTCAATTCGCGCCGTTTCAAGTACGGCGAACTGTGTGCTGACTTGCTGACCCTTGGCAGACTGGATGAAGAATGCTGTCGGCGATTTTGCTGCTGCTGCTGCTGTGGCTGCTGATGAGGAGTCTTCGGTGTTTTGTTTGGCACTGATTGTTGCGATTCAGAGTGATTTGACTTGTCAATTGAAGAGAGTGAGAAAAAGTTTTCGTTTCCCACATTCAATTCTAGACTCGACTTTTGCTTTGTTCGATTGTTTAGGTTACCGTTCATTCCGTTAACTCGAGATCGCTGTTTGGCAGGAGCTGAGGCGCCAGTGACAGGAAACAGTCGTTTGCTTGCATGCTTTCCATCAGATGCCTCCTCTGCAACCGCCAGGTAAATATTATGACTCGAGTATCGGCTGGAAAGACTGTGTCGAGGCTTATTGGTGGCATCTAAACAGGGAATCTTTGTGGTGGACGAACTTAGCTGCGGTATTGCTAGCGTAGAGGTAGACTTTAGTTTATGAGCACTTGTCAAAGAGGAACTGCTTCTTGACGAGTTAGCTGAGTAGCAACTATTCATGCCCGTTCTCATTGAAATGCTACTGCTGCTGCCACTACCAATTTTTGACTTAGGAATTCGGGAAGACTGATCAGGAGTTGCAAGAACTCGTTTCTTTGGACTTGGTTTTGGATGAGGTATTGCTGGAGCCTTAGAACCGTTAGTATTAGCAACATTGTTGGCTGTTTCTAGATCTTTGATGTTGTTGTTGCGGTCTGGCAAAACAGTTGGCGCCTGGTAGCTGCCTAGAGAGTTGCTGCTCGAGAGTGAAGAGTGTTCTGAGGAGACCAAGGAATCAGCGTGACTGGCAGAGGCGAGTGAACCGGAGCACATTGAAGTGGCAGAGTCATTTGACGAGGTGGAGGAACGGCGAATTGTCGACAGATCAACTGAACTCGTAGAACTGGGTGTTATGGCACCAGCTCGGCCTAAAGCCCTTCGAGTGGCAGAAGGCGATGAGTTAATCGAAACCACTGAACGTCGAGGTTGAGAACATGAGTTTTCAGGTCTGCGAATGACATTAATGAAAGTTAGAGCATATAGTTTGAGAGTGTTTAAAATTAATTTACCTTTCAAATGTGACCTGCATCTGTGGGTTCTTAACCTGTCCACTATTAAAGGTGATACGAGCTGCGCTAGTTGAACGATGCGCTAAAGATTAAAGGTAAATCACAAAAAAAAGAACATTAATTTTACAATATTTTAAAGCCAAAAACCAACACTTACCGAATCGANCTGCGCTAGTTGAACGATGCGCTAAAGATTAAAGGTAAATCACAAAAAAAGAACATTAATTTTACAATATTTTAAAGCCAAAAACCAACACTTACCGAATCGGCATCGACAAGGATCATGCTTCTCCAAGTAGTGTTCCAAAGTGTCCCTGATATAGAAAAATAATTAGGTTAGTTATCGTTCAAAGTCAGCAACAGATTGCGCGGCAAGGAAATCCTACGTGGCCTAGTATGCGGTAGATGGCGCAGCGCATCTGTTAAAATGTTTGAATTTCGAATTGTTGCGCCTGTAAAATGACGGCAGCAGTAAATTCCCCTTTTCGGTCAGAAACGAGGAAAGAGTCGAAATGACTTTCACAATGATCGGGAGAAGAGCACACAATTCACCAGAGACAAATTGCCACTCTGCCGGACAACTGTTGAAACGATGAGGATTGTCTATGCTAGGCTACGGTTCACTGATTCTGTTGGCTGTAGCTTACAAATTCAGCACACTACACAAAGCGACTAAATAAAGAGAGCATGCTCAATGGGAGATATTTAATCGCCCGCAATTAGTGATTAGCATGTCAATGACTGCCGATGATTCTCAGAACCACAGCGACAAGATGGAAAGGGAACGTAAGAAGACACAAATGGCTCTATTAAGTACGGCGACAGAACTAGTAGCAATAGTAAAGTTAATGCATGAAACTTACCATCCGCCGCCGACCCGAACCATCACATGATTACGCAATATCTATAGAAAATGCAAATTAATTAGTTGGGAGAATGAGATTAAATAAAGTGTTTTTGCACTTACCCGAACGAAAATGAGCGTTCGAGTATCACCGATTCGGTACTTTCCCTCTGAGAGATGTTCCAAGTAAAACTGCACAGGACAAGTGCAGCGAGAGAGCAGATTGACAACCTAAAGGCGGACTGTTTAGCACAGTATAGTTTATAAGCAAAATTGAACTCACCTTTTCATGGAGCGACTCGAGATCATTGTTGGTTATTTGCGGCTGAGGTGTGTCGTCAAAGATCAGTTCACTGTCGCCGAGTAAGGCAGAAACATCAGTAGGCGGCAGCAGGGTTCGCTTTGTCATCGATTCCTGTTGATCCTTTTCAAGCTCTTGATCGATTTCCTGCTCGAACTGAACTAGTGTCGGCGCAAGTAGACCTGCATAAAAAAACAAAAACACAGTTAGTCAATAGGCAATCAATTAGGGCGCAGCGATGTCGATCGACAGGAAGCGTCAAAAAGACGCGGGCACCAATCGGTGAGCAATGGCCCTGACTGCTTGCTCGACAAACGCCTAGCATCACATCACAGGCGCATCATTAGCGCTCGCCGTCAGCAGATCAACGGCGAGTACAACAAGTCATTAGCCCGCAGAGAACAATAAGCATGAGCCGCCAGTGACCAATGAAATGGAGATCAGCGAAAGCACGCTGTCATTTGCCTGATCACGATCTTTTCAGTGAGAGGAAGGAAAGGCGAGCACTAATCCAATGGAGTGAGCAATTTGCCAGTCTGTTTTCCACTTTTGGAACATCTCACCTCAGCATGTCCGTTATGGGCTTGTTTGCTCAGCCCTCTGCTCTCTACTAGCACACAATTGCGCATTAATCAGCCGTGGTTGTGGCCCTTTGGGCGATGCTGTGCTCGAATATTCATAGCACACTTTGGAACTGAACTGAATACTGAGCTATCCTGAGCGACAATGGCGCTGAAACACATGACAAATGTGCCATTGATGCAGCCACCTCATAAGATGTACACACACACCTTGTTTTTGCGCGTTTTGGTGAGACACCCGCGATGACTATTTATAAGCTAAATAGCAATGAAGTGTCCGACTATAATTAGTATCTGGTGGCCAATGGACTAGCAGCCAAGAAAAACATCTGAGAGCATGCCAGCAAAAATGAAGAAGTAGACCGCCAGATGCAGAGATTCTAGAGCATTTACAGAGCTAACAAGTAAGCTTAGTAGAGAAGTTGACAGTCAAGAAACAACAAGGCAGCTGTGTAAAAATTATTTATAGCAGTGGTTGAGGGTGCGACAAGTGCACTTGTCTCTATGACAAATATTATGTAATGGAAAATTCGAGTAAATAGTATTCTGTTGGGTCGATCAATAGGCATTGCTACCAGATGACCAGTCACATAATTGCGTTCATCAGTTGGGCCAACAAACAAGGCAGCTTGTTCAAATAAACATTTTCATATGAATGAATATACAAGCAACAAAAAGAGAGAAAACTTCCGACTACCACACAAAAAAAAGATGCACAAGTGTTTGCATAAACGGAAGCAGAAGCAATTATAGGCATTGCCAGAGGCCAAAATACTGCAGTAATGTCCACAAAAGTGCTTCTGAAAATCAGCAGTGAGATAGCAGCAGCAGCCCAGAGCGAGCACAGTAGTGCCCACAGACAAACTGCGCAGTGGTGATGAATAGTGCACGCGCGAGCGAGACGCAGCAGTAGCTGAATGGGAGAAAGACAGAAGCACCTCACTGACCACTGTGTCAATAGATCATTGTGAGGTGAGCACTGCTACGTGCTCCTAATTGGCACTTGACGTGTCGCTCTCCTACACCTTGCTGGCCACCATCAACGGTGCAACTTTTATTCACCTGCACTACTACTACTACTCGTTTGGCCCTTCAAACGAAAAGAGTGGCAGTTTGATATGCAAATTACAGGTGTGAGCTGCAGCAGTCACTCGCGCTGTTCAATTCTTCTGCTCTCGCCTAGCCTGGTCTGGTGGTCAGACAGCAAAGTGTTGCCTTGCTAGCTGTTGCACCCGAGTGAGTGGTAAATGGGCTTAAATGCACCGGCAGGCACAGCATTCACCAGCACTATCACCACCTTTCCGCAAATAAAAAGCAGCCGCGTGGTTGCACTTACCGAATTTAGCGCCGTAACGGGCAACTTCGAGCAGGCAGAGAACAAAATTAATTTCATTTTTGCGCGCCACCAAGTCTTCAGTTTCAAAGAGAAGGCACTCTTTTATGTGAATTCGACGACACCAATCGATAAAATTGGCCACGTTGTCTCGAGCCTGAAACGTCCCAGGAGCGGCGTTCACCTTAACCGGCACATCTCGGTGGAGGTCCACGACAGTGAGGACGAGATTTGTGAGGGCAGAAAAGTCAGCATTGTGCTCCTTCCATTCGCGAGCAGTTCGGAGCACTGAGTTGGCATGTCTGTGTGCAGGTCAAGTCAAATGAAGTCACGTGGTAAGAAAAGCATGACGGGAAAATATAAGCACAACGTAAACAACAACAATGCACCTACCTGCAGAGGATGACGCCAGTTTCGAGTCGATTAAGGAAGTTGTCCGCAGTAATGTCCAAAGTGTAGAGTGTGTTTAACCATTCTGCCAAATCTTCCTTCATCGCAATCAGGTACTCTTCATTTGATCGGAACGGTCGGTAGGGTTTTCGCTCAAAGCCAATCATCATATCAGTGTCAGAGGATAGAGATAAAGCACACGAGCTGTAGGAGCGCTTCGGCTCTTCGATGTGCTGCTGAAGTTGGTGTTGATGCTGGTGTTGGTTGGACAGCTCGCCCGCTGTGGAGCCCTGTGAGCTCTCTGCCAGACTGTCCATAGCGAATGACGCCGATGAGGTGAGACTGGTGTTGGCACTGCCGCAGCTATTGCCACCGCCTGATGACCACTGCGACTCCTCGGCGGTGAAGTGCGAGGGCTGAGTCGACGTGGTCATGACTGTTTTGCAGACCTTTGCTGGGGGTGCGACTGCTGAACTGGTGCGACTACTACTACTACTGTCACCGCCCACTACTGGACAGCTACGACGGAGGTGGTGTTCTAGCAGTAGCAGGATGTGCTGCCTGTCAGCTGCTGGTACTGATGATGAGGGTGCCGGTGAGGAGAGTTGGCCAGTTGGTAAGGTGGTGATGGAAGCATACCGTGCACAGAGCGACCAGCAGCAACAGCCAGCCAGAGGTACGAGGCGATATGTACGGTTCTTTGGGGAGAGGAAGACGCGACACTGCAGACCCGGTGACTTGCTTTCACTCGCGACGACGTCGGCAGTGGGCGAATTGACGATTCTAGACATAATAAATCAGAGAAGAAAAGACAAGACTTTTAGACGATCTGGTGACTGGTGACTAATGCAAGGAAGTGGAGAGTGGCTGCAGTCGCTTTAGCTGCGACTAATTTTAATTCGCACGCCAAAGTGAAAACTTCCAAGTGGTACTTTGTCGCAGGCCGTCGCCGTGGCAAGCACTGAGTTTCAGCTGCCGCCGTCGACGACGCCGATGATGATGACGAGAAGGACGAGAACGTCGACAACCACCGAGGAGCAGCACCGAGCGACATCGCGCCGAGTAAGGAACGCTTATCGCGATCGAGGGCAGGAAGATGCAACCGCAGCGGCGCCAAGAACGGGCAAATTAATTCGAGCTAATTAATGCACACACACAAGTACAGTCCAATTAATTGACAGAAAGCATTGTCTCCTGCGCCTAAGACATATTTTGCCAGTGGCGAGCAAGTGAAAGCAGAGACAAGTATTGCTGTAGTGCTGCAGCTTCCCTGGCGTTGACACTCACACACACACAACAGCAGTTCCGTACACAACAAAAACAACAGCAGAAGAAGCAGCGATAGAAGGAGAAGACAGCCGCATCTGAGCCAAAACATCAGCTCAGCTGCCAGAGCAGGCAGAGCCGGCAAGCGGTGTTCAGTGAGAAGTCACTCACCGAGGCAGAATGGGGAGGTGGCAAAGTTCGGGTGCTGGTGGCGGTGACACCAGACTCCTCTGGCTCAACGACAACGACAAGTCATTCTTCAGAGGATGCACACACCACCATCCACTGGCTAAACTTAGACCGACGATCTTAGCTGAATGGCGGACAAAGCACAGGCTAACACTAGCTACTCACAGACATCCAAATAAAATTCCAAAAAAGAACCTTTGGCTTGGTGATCGACATCGACGTAGTAGAGCGAAGAGCAGAGGAAGGAAGGAAGGAAGTAAAAGGAGCACCTTCGGTGGTGGGTGAGATGCCACGCACTTCTGAACTTAGGCAGTAGCGGTTGCCCTCTTCGGGTGCTCAGCCACAAACACGTTCGCACAATGTCGTTGCTTTGTGTGCAGGCAGACTTTGCAGTGCACTGCAATGGGTCAAAGCAGAGGAAGCTGAATGATGGCACTGCACAAAGGACTTTCCAAACTACACGACACTGGCAAAAAGATCGGTGCTACTGAACTGCTGCTGCTGTTGGTTGTGTTGATGCTGGTGGTGATAAGCCGAGTTGCAGTCTTCAATTGACACTGAGACCTTAAAGCAGTAGCAGTCGAGTCAGAAGCAAAGATATCGATGCTACCATTTGACCGCTGATCCGTACAAACGAGGCGACCAATCACTGTCTACTGCGACGTTGCCCAGTGATTCTGGTAGTGAGGCGAAATGGCTGTGTTTGTTGACATAACGCCAAGATTAGCCAAAAGTAGAAGTAGTAGTGATGGTGGTGGTGTAAGACAAAGGACAGTCGGCCTGAGAGAGCGACTGCTAAAGAATGTGCTGCTGCTGTAACTGGTCGCCTGGCTGACGGACGATGATTGTGTCGATTGAGTCACCACAATGCGCACTGCCGGCACTGTCAGAACACAGTAGTAATTGGAGACAATTGACACTGGCTGAAGTGAACCTCACCTGGTGTAGGTGCTAGCCGTCGGTGGAAAGCAAAAAGCGAAAAATCAAGCCGTGTAACACTTTGCTTCCGTTTTCAAGATAGAATGGCACCGAAGGAAACCGAAGCGTGTGCCCGCTGCCAAACCTGGCTATTATACAATGCCAAACAGAGTAAGGCTTGATCAAGCAGCAGCAACAGTGGTTCAGCAGTGGCTCAAGTGACAGTCTGTCAGTCAGCGACAGTGCAACGCTTCATTGGTGCCATCCACTTGATAGAGAGGCACTGAGCAAAACACACACACCGAGAGAATGAAAAGTAAGTAGTGAAGATTGGTCCAATGAGCACTTCTCGGAAGGCAGACAAACAAATAGAATGGTTGCAAAAAAAGCAGCAAAAAGAAAGGCAAAATGACAAAGTATGATAATGCGTGAAAGTGAGTGAAGAGACAACCAGAGTCGCATATCAAGAAGAGTAGAGCAAAGAAGTACCGTTGTTCAGCTTAGGCATGGACACTGCCCAGTGTTTGCCGTTTTAGTTTACATTCTCTGCTGCACTAGAAAGAAGAGAACGTTGTGGCGGAGTATATGGCGGAAAGGCAAACAGTCAGTACACAAACACTAACAAACAGAGTCAACCACAGAAGGAGGAAATTATCAAAAAGATTAGCCGTCTCGGCAGCAAAAGCACACATCAGATTTGAGAAAAAACTTCAATTTAAATGGCAGATCTGAGGATGCTGGTAGTTGGCACAGTGAAACAAAATTTTAACGATAAATCAAATTGACACATCAGTGCTGTGAGGCGGACAACTCTGTATGTCGACACTGGACGTTGAAAACGGTAAACCGTTGACTCAGCACAGAGCTCGTCAGTAGGAAGAATGAGCAGTCAATCTTCACAAGTGGAAAGCAGCCAGTCTACAGTGCAGCCCAAGTCTGTGAAGAAAGTAGATGATGCACGAGCATAAAGTGAACAGAATTGTAACAAGACTGACAAGGTGAGAGCACACCAAGCACAGGTGAGAAAAAAGTGAAGAGAGGGAGAGAGCCAAGGAGGAAAAGAGGTCATTACGAGCAAGTGGAGTTTGTTCTACACTACACAGTCGTGCACGCGTCAAACACAACAGCAGCAGACAGATTTACTCATCGAACCAACATGTCTGCTCTGGATGTCATGCTCCCACTCAGTCATTGGTGGCATATGAACCAATCTAGTACTTTTTCTGCTTTGCAAATCGATCAACAGACGTTAATTTAAACCTAATATTTTTGCTGGAAACGTGGTTGCTTTTAAAGAAGGACATTTTCACAAGCAAATCAACTAGACTACAAATTCAATTAATGAGTTCACACAGCAAAGCGACAAGTCAAATTTAGTTAACAATTGAATTAAAAACGAGATTTTTTCAATCAGATCAAGTCAACTTGAAAATAAAATAAAACAAATGCTAAAAATTAAACTTGATTTTTATACAAAGTGTTGTCCTTGTAACATGAACAAGGTTTCTTACAGATAAGTATAAATGACAATTTTTATTCTTATGAATGGCGAGTCTTGAGTGATATTACAAAACCAGCAAACTTTTCAGAGTCGATTAAAAAGATATGACTAGTCATTACACGATTTTACGAGAACATTTCAAAGTCAAAAAGGAAAAAGTCCTCACTGCTATAAGAAGCAGATTAAACGCAAGTATTGCGCAGCAAAAAGGAGGCATCTTAGCACTTACATGCTCTAAGCTTTTTTAGTAGTGAACGAGTTTGCGTCGTCAAGTAGGTTGATTGTCTGGGAAGCTTTACAATACCCAAAGGAGAAGTTTACAAGGCCCAACTAAAGCATAAAGTTCAGGGTGGTGGTGATGTGTTTGCAATGTATAGAGTAGATCGATGAGCAATCAAAAAGAAATAAAACGATAGTGCGGCAAATCAGCAATCGAAGAGGAAGCCAGTCTGAAAGTCAATACTCAAGGCGAAAACTGATGTGGCCATCAACTGCAACTGGTAGGCAGGCTGACAACAACAGACAGGTGAGCATGCCTCACAAACACATTGTCTCAAAAAAGAAGCAAAACTGAGCAAGGTAGTGTGGCAAGTGGGTGAGTCAGCGATTTTTGATCATCGGCACCGTCCGCCTGGTGACATCATCACAGTTGAATCAACAACAGTCCGACAGCAGACTGAAGCGGGCAAATATGGACGCGTGTACTGCCGGACTGGAAGTGCCGCAGCGTACTGTGCTTGAATAATCGATTAAGAATTTATATGCTGTGAACAGCAAACAAAAGCGGAAACAGAAGCCACAGAGGACTGCGAATCATTGAAGAATGGAGCAGAGCATCAATACCAATGGCGAACCCACCGCAGCAACCACCTCCACCATTCTTTCTATCTCTCTCTCTTTCTCTTCAAACCCAAACGATTTTTCACCAATATATATATATATTTGTGTAGCTCATAAATAATTCCAGCCATAAATCAAGCATGGCACTACTACCGCCAATACCGCCGCCACCACTGCAGCAACAGCAACGACCACCAAAAGTGATTAGTGCTGCGGACAAGCTGCGCTCATTAACGGCCAGTTTTGTCAACATTTCATCTGTCATCATTACTAAAATCGGCCCACAGAATTGCCAAAGTGCATGACGATTCTGTGAATGGCAAAGCGGCAAATGCATGACGTCTGTCTGAAAAAGTGGCACTGTAGAAACCGTTGGTTGCAGCAAAAAGAAAAAAGATGGCCTCAATATTGAGAAACAGGTCCTGAAAGTATGTGATGCAAAATGAGGCAAAGCGCAAAACAAAAAAGAGAGAGAGAAGGAGCGACAAAGAGGTAAAACGGAAAGAGAGGAAGTGAAGAATGATTAAGAATGACAAGGCTAATTATTCGCATGCAAATGGTAAAAATATGCAAACGATGCGGCAGTAAATAGAATCAGTGCAGTGGAGATATCACTGCCCGCTCAACTGGCACAAAGCCGTTAAAGGATGCTAGATAAAAGAATACTGGTCAAAATAGTATTCAAGCTTAGCAAATACACGCTTACTGTTTGAGGCTGAA